ACCTGGCTCTGATACCAACTTAAGATTGAAAAGAAATAATTCTTGAGGGCTTGATTGATCCCTCTCACAATCTTCTATTTATAAGAATAAATTGATACACAAATACATGATAAATAGGGTAACCCTTGACACAATATAATCATGATAAAATAGGATAAATATCCTAACACAGCACATAGAATACAATCATCAAAACTACACAATCTCCTCGGTTTACTGCTCCCCATTTCCACAAAACCATTAATTAAGAAAGAAATAAATTCGTTGATTTAGTAATAGCAGGTATAATATAACTTACTGCAAAAAACAATTTTCTTTGGGAACTAAAACTATAACGTGGAAAGTTATTGCTGATACCCTTGTAACTAATTGAGGTTTCATCAACTGAGATCTCAAGACAATCTTTAAAATATATCTCCATCCTCTTTAAATTTGAAAGAATCTATATCAATAAAGCACAAGTTCAGAAAGAGAGTAGTTAGAGAGCACAGACTGACCTTAGTTCAAAGTCTAGTTCTTATTTATGCATGGTATGCCTAGACTATCAAACAGCTTGGATGAGCTTTGAGTAATCTTTCTTGAGGTCTTGACTATTGTATATCTTTCATATTATATGACCAATCATTTAACCTGTGATTGACAATTATACCTCAAATTCTGTAGGACATTTTGTCGTAGAAGTATTTTATTGGATGGCCTTCACTGAAAATTTCTCAATTTCTCCCCTAAGATATTGAAGATAAGGGAACACCAAGTCTGCATGACATCCATAGTAACGTGAGAAGATATCATCTATTCGATTTATGCTTTCCATAGCAGTAGAATCATCCAAGGAAAGTTGGATGGAAGAAAGCTTCACAAGTTCGTAAGCAATAACAATATCATCAGTATCGTATAGCTTTTCCAGAATCTGTAACACAAAAAGGAACAAAATGTTTTAGACCTATTACGTAGAAAAACTTATAAATTTTATAAGAAGACCATATTGGAAATGCATTCATTAACAAGTACTGGAAGTTAGATTGCAGGTTATGGGAGAAGTAACGCCCTTGAAAGGTGAGAAGTAACCAATATGCCTTATCTATAAGTCCTGTGAAGTGTTAAGGCACTCAAGTCAGATAGAAGTGTGGGTAGTCACTTGGTAGTCAAATGTCTCTTTGTGAGCGTGCTTTACCATTCTTTTGTAGGGATACGTGAGTTTGTAGGAAGATACACTTCTAGGTGAGTATTTTTCATGTTTCCACAAAACTCGTAATCTTTATTGATCTAAGTGAACAACTTGTTTAAGTGTTTCCACGGATGTAGGAAAAAGGTGTCATCACAAATTCTATCCTGTGCTATTTTACTTATGATGCTATGTATGACTACAGACTTGGCTATTATGAGGTGCCTAAAGCTTCACCGAGTAGAATGAAGTGTTTGGTAGATTAGTTAAGTATTTGGTTCTTCTTTCTTAACAATGGTGTAAAATAAGACTGATTTATTATTCTCAATCATAAAAAATACATTCTGATACTCTCTATTTGTAATAATCTAATTCTCCTAAAAAGGGAAATAAGAAAACTAGAAAAGTAAAATAAAGAGAAATAGGGAAATTAGGAAAGTAAAATAAAGGAAAATAGGGAAACTAGGAAAGTAAAATAAAATAAAAGATTATATATCTATTTCCTCTAATTAGGATGATTCTAAAGATATTATCTCAAATTACAATAACAACTACTCCATCCGTATAAATATATTGTTAACAAATTCATAATTATTAAAACAGTTAGTTAATGAAATTAGAAAATTTATTTTTTTGTAGTGCAATATTTTTTAAAAACTCTCTAAACAAATTAATTTATGGAGACAGAATAATAGTAATGAAGTCTTAATTTATAAAACTAAACTCTTAAATTCTCCAATCTTTATAATGGAGAAAAAAGACAATTCATAACATTTATTATTTATGAACCAAAATAATTATGTGTATTTTTGGTCAAAAACAATTAATGCAAGTTCAATAGAAAAAAAAATCAATAGAAAGGGCAACAAGATATTGGGCAAAAAATATCAGAAAAATATTTTACGATTAGGGACAATGGGAGTGGCTTTTAAGGGCAGGTTTTTCTCCCAAAACAATAGATAAGCACCCTCCTTAAACGTTAGTTGTTAAGAAAAAGAACCAAACACTTTAATACTTAACTGAGTATCATATACGAATTGTTGTGGAACGTAGGCACCTAATGATACCTAAGTTTGCATCACGGTGAATTTGGTCCATGAATAGCAAGGAGATTCTTGATCTAACTCAATTAAAAAAGTTTAGGAATTTAATTGATGTCCTTTAATCAAATCTTACTAATATGCATCAATTTATTTCACTTCAAATGGAATTTGGTTATTAAGGATTCTCACTATTCATGGTTGAATGATTAAAATGCCCAAATCGTAATTGTTAAATTCATGAGTCCAGTTCCTATAAGATGCACACCAATGAGTTCTCATTTTCAATTGCTTGGTGCGGGTGAAATTTTCCCCAACATCAATAAACAATAACATAATCAACAGAAAACATGTTCCACAAGCATACATTTATATCCAGAAGAAGGCTACAGTGGGAGAGGAACTTATGTCAACAACCATCATAAAGTAAATATGAACGTTAGATATAATAGTTTAGACTAATGGATGAAATGTTTTTTGTTTTTCTTTTCTTTCTGTCTGATTTAACAGTGCTACACCACACAATTTAACAGGGCAGTTTTCTGAGTTCCATTTAAAAAATATTTATATTTCTGCCATTGGAAAGAATTCTGGATAGCTGATAGGTTCTAGGTATACAGGAAGGGATATAGTAAACAAAAAATACGTCAAAAACAAATTTTTCCCTCCCCACCCCTTTGATACTAGTAAGCTTATTCATAAAATGTTTTACCTGGATAGAAGCTTTGAAATGATCAACAGTAGGTACAGGAAGGGATATAGTAAACAAAAAATACGTCAAAAACAAATTCTTCCCTCCCCACCCCTTTGATACTAGTAAGCTTATTCATAAAATGTTTTACCTGGATAGAAGCTTTGAAATGATCAACAGTAGGTACAGGAAGGGATATAGTAAACAAAAAATACGTCAAAAACAAATTGTTCCCTCCCCACCCGTTTGATACTAGTAAGCTTATTCATAAAATGTTTTACCTGGATAGAAGCTTTGAAATGATCAACAGTAGGTACAGGAAGGGATATAGTAAACAAAAAATACGTCAAAAACAAATTGTTCCCTCCCCACCCGTTTGATACTAGTAAGCTTATTCATAAAAAGTTTTACCTGGATAGAAGCTTTGCAATGATCAACAGATAATTGTAATTCTCGTACTAAACAAAAAGCCTGAGCAATGCTGTCTTCTGCCTGCATGCATCATATTTTGTTGAAGGATATAAAAGTTAAATCATCATTAGAAACATGAGATATTGTTTGTCTACCAGTCCATGCTATTCAATAGTTGTCACCACAGATATACACACTTGGAGTCTAAGAAATCCAGACATTGAGGGCATGTTTGGATTCTTATTTTTTGTTTAAAAAGATTATGTATTTACATAAGTTCTCAAATACATATCATATATATCACACAAAAATAACTCCACACCCCTAAGGAGGTGTATACATCCTTTGGGGAAGAGAAAGGAAAAAAGAAAAGAGAGTGAGATATGTGAAGGGAAAGGAATAAAGAGATAGGGCTGATGGGAGTAAAAATGACATTTGAGAAATCAGGGTTGTATATTAAAGTGGAGTGGTTAAATGCAATATCAATATGATTTTAAGAGTTTTATAGGCTTCATCTTATCTATCTCATGATTACTTTAATTTTGCATTGGTTAACTTCAATGATTATGAAGTGCTTGCTTGAACCGTATGGGTATTCCAAAACTACCCAACACACATACTATTAGCAAAAACAAATAGAACTATAACAAGCATGGAGGAGTTTTGTAAGTGCAGGAAGCTCAAACTCACCTCCGCAATAAGCTTGTTGTAAGCATGCAAATTTAATCTTAGTGATTGAAGAGATATCAAAGCATCAGAAATAGTAATACGCGAAATTTCTTTTGAAGATTTTGCATCCTGCAACCTGTCATTTCCGTATTTCAGGACGTAAAATACTCAAAAATAAGTAGTCATCTACTATTATGATGAGATCATGCAGGATTTAAAATGGGGTGGGGAAGGGGGGTGGCCAGGTGGCACGGGTGGGGTTATCAAGGTAGCCTCAAATTGGAAACTATTCAAGATTTGCATGATTATATTCAGAGTAAAAGGAAAGATGTACTTTAGGACGGGGTTATTAGGAGTCAAATTGGATAGTGCAAACCTTTTTATGCATATTAGAGCTTCACTGACTGCAGCATGAGAAGACTCCAAATCACAGTAAGAACCACATTTCAAACAGTATCCAGGTTGACCATGAATATGGGCCCCGTTTTGTTTGAAGACATTAAGAGATACTTCACAAATGTCATCATTCTTTTCAACCTGAAAGGGTGGAGGATTTTTATAGTGAAAAAATATTGCAAACTTGAAAGGGTGAAAACATGAATCATAATGATCCAAGTTTCCTGACCCTTGAGCAACTTACATGGCAGAAGGAAAATGCTTAGTTTCTCAGTAAATAACAGTTATTCATTATTTATTATAAAAATGGTATATGATAGAATCGCCAATCCATAGTATTTTCTAGTAACAGCTCCAAAATATGGATGAATCAGAAGACTAAGATATACCAAAATTTAACTCCATATCTGAATTTAACTCATGATCAGGTATGCGTTTTTAGAACACATCCTAGTATAAATAGAAGGTGGAGGTAGGCTGCTTGATATTCAAATACAAAAAAGAATAGTTGTTATGCATGAATAATTTGCTTATATTGTAGCACACAATTTGTTTCTTGTATTTGCAGAGATTTCTACCCTTATTTCCATATTCCCTCCACATAATTAGGATTTGTATTCCTCGTTCCCTTTATTTGAAGCCTAAAAATACTAGGATAGCATTTATTAGTAGGTATATATGTTGCATTTAGCTTGTACAAATCATCACAATAATATTCACGTTTTCCATATAATGTAATGCATCTCAACCACAAGAATGGCTTCCATATTGTTTTGTTAAGGAAATCTCTTGAAAATCAAGACACTGTCTGAGGTAAAGCACACAATTTAAACTTCAACTAGATTTATAGTATAAAGAACAATAGTAATTCAATATCAACACGTGTCCTTTAAATGGCTTACAAGGTCAGTAATAGTGAAGTGCTTGATTTTCTGCTGCTCACAGTCATGTACTCTGCTTTCTAACACTGCACCAGAACAATTTGGATTGACACAATGGAAGGCATTGAGGACTATGTCGGATACATTGACTTCTGAACAACCAATACACTGACAATGAAACGCATATTCATCTTTGAGAAAGTTAAGGCGATCTTTACAATCCCACAACCCAACCTGCAAAACAGAACTGTTTATTAACATTTGAACAAAAGAATTCTTAAAACAGACCTGGCATTTGCAATTCTGAGTAAATCACTTTGTGTTTTAATGCTTTCCTTTAATAGGGGGGAAGGAGAACTTAGACCATGTCAAATAAGTACAATTCCAGACAGTAACCAGGGAGGTATTTAAGGCCTAACTGTCGTAAATAGGGGATTATTGGAATAAAAATATCCTAAAATCTCCATAGGAATTAGGAAAAATATCCCTAGAATTCGTTTTGGTAGACATTATTTCCTTTTCTAAGAGAATGTGATTGTAACAAATAGAGGAGTTGAGGATGTAATTACCATGATTGTAATTAATAAAATATTTATTTTCTCCCTCTCATTATTCAAGTCTAACAAACTGTTATTAAAAACACTGGTTAACCCCATGCATGGAGTGATACTACTCAAGTGAGTCTAGAGAGGAGTATAAGTTCATTTAACGGGTGCATAGTTCCTTTTATCCTTCTCTTCGAGTTCGGTACTGCTTTGTTCTAGAGAGGAGTATAAGTTCATTTAACGGATGTTAGGAAGTTAAAAGTATATGAGGGGAGGAAATTAAAGGCGGGAAAGGAGGATAGTTTGTTAGTAAACAGAGAGAGTATAAATAAGAAACATAATAGAGGGAGAAGGAGATTATCAGATATTTTCCTTTTGGGTATAGACTGGACATTTTCCAGTGGAGGAAGGGAGGCTTCCTTGGGACGTATAATTGTATTTCTCTTAATATACATTACAGATTCAGTAATATACATACACATACTTCCATCTTTTGTTGTTTCGAGTCTTATTGTGAGAAGAGAGTGTTTTGTTTGGTCTCCTCAACAAAGGAACCTAACAAGTTTGGTCCGACCTGCTGGATCTGTATCAGAGGAGCAAACAGAGTGCGGGTGAAGAAGAAGAATGGAGGGACGAGTGATGGCGATGGAGTCGAAGGTGGAAGAACTGAAGGTGGAGATGCGAGTGTTGACTCACGGGCTCCAGACGTTTAACCGCGCTCACGGACGATGCTCTAGGAACCAGGATCGGAGCTTCAAAGGAAGTCGCGATTCTGTCAAAGCTGAACGCGAACGGCGACCACCAGAGAGTTCGGAGGACGAAGCGGAAGAGGATAGAGGAGACGTGCAACGTAGCTGGATGAAGCGCGTTGAACTACCAACGTTCGAAGGAGCAGACCCCATGGGCTGGATCGCGAAGGCAGAGAATATTTTCGATCTCCAGAACGTGACGGAGAGGGAGAAGATGAAGCTGGTATATATCTGTATGGAGAGAGGCGTGAGCTACTATTGGGTCTGCTTCTGGCGGAAGAAAACCAAGCATCCGACTTGGAAAATGTTCACCGACGCTCTGACGCGGATGTTTGGCGGATTAAATCGGGGCACCGCGCGATAGAAGGGGAGCGTCGACGAGTACATCCTGGAGTTTGAAATCCTGGTGCCGCAAGCATCGAAAAAACCAGATCACTCCTCACTTTCTGTCCCTGTCGATCTTGGAGCTAGCATTATAATTGGTGTTGAGGCTGATGTGGCCACTGAGTGAAGACCAGATCCTTGCGCTCAGTTGGGCCTTGAGTTGACAGTGTTGAAGAGTGATTTCCCTTTCTACGACATAGTGACAGAACAAAAAATTCATGCAGATATGGATGAAGCACTTGAAGCTGAATATAACAGTGAAGAAACTGAACAAAACAAGTCTGCATATAGACCTTTTGATTCCAAAAGGGATAGTTCTGGAAAAAAAAAAGCTTGATGAGGAGATTTCGAGCCCTCAAGAGAGGAGGGTTATGGATTGGCACTTTGCTCATTTGGAGTATGGCTGTGCTGCTTCACTTAATGATGTTCCTCTTCCCTACTAGAATCAAGATGAGGTGTATGGGGGTTTTGGGGGAGCTCATTGTATGATTAAAGGGGGTTACAGTTCCGTTGTTTAGTCTCTGGGAGAAGGAATTACAATTCACTTAAACCACGTTGTAACAAATGTGTCATATGGTATCAAGGAACCACGTTGTAACACTATATTTCTCGGTTTGTTGAGGAGGGAGGAGGAAATTGGTATGGCTATTGCCAAGAGCGACAACAACAGTGAACCTTGTACTTCATACAATAGTTACAAAGTAGCAGCCTTGACTGAGACCATATTAGAGACAAGTCAAGTCTCTAATCTAAAAGATCGGTACGTTCTCGGCGAGCAATTGGGTTGGGGACAGTTTGGTGTCATAAGAGATGTTCGGACAAGTTAACCGGAGAGGTTTTGGCCTACAAATCAATTGCTAAAGATAGGTTGGTTACTTCGGATGATTTGAGGACTGTAAAACTTGAGATAGAGATAATGGCTAGGCTATCCGGTCACCCCAATGTTGTGGATCTCAGAGCAGTTTATGAAGAGGAAGGCTTTGTTCACTTGGTGATGGAACATTGTGCTGGAGGAGAGTTTTTTCATCGATTAGAGAAGCATGGATGGTTTTCAGAATCTGAAGCCAGGGTTATCTTCAAGCACCTTATGCAGATGGTTTTGTATTGTCATGAAAACGGGGTTGTTCATAGAGATTTAAAGCCTGAACATTCTCTTAGCAACAAGATCCTCCTCATCTCCTATTAAATTGGCAGATTTTGGACTAGCAACCTACATCAAGGAGCCTGGTCAATGGAAGACAGTGGAGGAGGATTTGCCACCACCCAAGCCTCCAGACCTGAATTGGAGGGTAGTAGCCAGTGGATTCCCTTCATATGATAACATGATGATGAAGAGGAGCCAGGAGATCCTGTTTCATGCTTCCAACCTTGAGGGCAAGGTTGTTTTGCAGCGGGGTGTAATGTTAGGAAGTTAAAAGTATATGAGGGGAGGAAATTAAAGGCGGGAAAGGAGGATAGTTTGTTAGTAGAGAGAGACAGTATAAATAAGAAACAGAATAGAGGGAGAAGGGGATTATCAGATATTTTCCTTCTGGGTATAGACCAGACATTTTCCAGTGAAGGAAGGGAGGCTTCCTTGGGACGTATAATTGTATTTCTCTTAATATACATTACAAATTCAATAATATACATACACATATTTTCATCTTTTGCTGTTTCGAGTGTTATTGTGAGAAGAGAGTGTTTTGTTTGGTCTCCTGAACAAAGGAACCTCACATAGGATGTGTGATTACAAGTACAAAATAGGTTTGATTAGTATAATAAAACATGCCTCTATTATTTTTAATTGTCTAATAGATGTTTCTTTATTGTAATACATGATGATACAAACCAAATATTATATTATTCCAAGCCTCAATTTTGCTTATATGAGCAAAAGTTTCAAGAGAAGAGTTGAGAGAAGATGAAAAGTCTTATATTTCACAAAGAAAACCTGATACAACTTACTACTATATTTATAGGAGACAGTAGTTCTGAAAAGTAAAAGGGCTGGAAGCCCCTAACACAACCCTAACATAAATATTAATAATAATAAAGACATTATACTTCAACACTCCCCCTCAACCTGGAGCATATAGATCATATGCACCAAGCTTGGAACATATAAATTGAATTTTAGGCCCCCTTAGAGATTTGGTCATAATGTCTGCGAGTTCTTCATTAGAGTTGACAAACTCAGTAAAAAGATCCTTTGACAATAATCTCTCTCTAGTAATGTTAGATGTTAAGATGTGTGTTTATGTTAATTGGGCTCAGCCCATTCTGTATTAAGGGCCTTGACCCATATCTTACATTATAAATAAACTACCCTATGTGTATGCAAAAGACACAAGGGATATTTCTCCCAATCTTCTCTATTTCTCACATGGTATCTAGGGCATAGGATTAGTTTCAGCCAACTCCACGGTCTCCGGCACACATTACCACCGTTGTCGCCGCCGTCGTCGTCGCCGCTGGAATTCCGGAATCGACCGACGACCAAACCATCGAAATCGTCTCGACCGGACGACCACCGTGGTGCAAAGATCGCGGCGAACGGACCACCCACGCGCCGCCACTCACAGCTACAACAGTCACCGGCACTGTCGCTTCTCCCCGCGCGTGCCGCCGCGTCGCCGGAAAGTTCCGCCACCGATCAGAACCGTCGTGATTGCCTCCTTGCCCTCTTTCTGGATTTGTGGTCGTTGCGTCAATTGGAACACTTTGGATTTTTAGGGTTTCTCCCTCTCCATGGCGTCTTCCTTGTCTACAAACACCTCTCTTGGTGGCTCATCTTCTGATCCCTCAATATACACCAATTATGTGAATGTACACTTGTCCATTGACAAGTTAGATGGCACAAATTATGCAACATGGGCGTCCGACATCAAGCTTTGGTTGAAGAGTCAGGGGTACTTAGATCACCTTACTCAAAATGTGACTACTGCTACCACAGATGACACTTCCCGCTGGATGACAAATGATGCCCAGTTATGCATTGTTATAAAGTCCACCATTCACTCCTCACTAAAACAAATGTTTCGATCATATGAAACATATTCAGAAGTATGGGCACAAGTGAAGTTGTTATACACAAATGACACTCAGCGTCTTTATGGTGTTTGTCAGGACCTATTAACTGTTATTGGTCTGCGCAGTCCTGGTCCCATGGCAGAATATTTGGGTAAAGTTCATGCCCTTCTTCATGATTATAATGAGATATTACCTCCTGCTTCTACTTCTGCTGAAGAACTGGAACAACGATCAAATTTCTTCATGTTGTTGGCATTATACGGACTCTCTGATGATGTCTCTCATGTCCGTGATCAGATTTTGGGTTCTCCTGTCATACCCAACTTTACTTCTACTTGTTCTGCTCTTTTGCGTATACCGAGCAAACCAGACATCTCCTCATACTGATGATTCCTCAGTTATGGCTGCCCAACGTGATGATCGAAGTTGGTTTCGCAAGCCATGTAAAGGACGTCCAAAATGTGACCATTGTGGCAAGTTAGGCCACAAAATTGATAGATGTTATGCGCTTCATGGACGTCCTCCTCGACCTGTAGCAATGGCTAATTCTGATCCACCTCCCCGATCACCGTCTGCAGACCATCCTACTTCATCTAATACTGTAGAAAACCCTGCAATCTTTAACGAATTTCTTAGATGGTATGAGGATCGTCAGCACTCTAGTTCCACTACATCTGCATCTGTTGCACGTACAGGTACACTTTTTGTTGGTCTGACTCACTTTCACTCCCTCAGCTGCCACCGGTCATATCACTGGTAACAAGTCCTTGTTTTCTTCCTTGTCATGTCCGAATAATTTACCCTCGATAACAATGGCTGATGGGTCTAGAGTCTCATCTCATGGTGTTGGTACTGTTTATATTTTTCCGTCCATATCCATTGATCATGTACTTTATGTCCCTGGGTTTCCCTTCAACTTATTGTCCGTAAGTCGTCTAACTCATACCCTTAATTATGTTATTTCATTTACTAAAGATTTTGTTTGGTTGCAGGACCGGAGTTCGAAAAACATGATTGGCACAGGATGTGAGTCTCATGGCCTATATCATCTCCGCCCTTCTCCACATGTTGGCGTAATCATGGAGTCACCATCCCTTCTTCATGCTCAGTTAGGTCATCCTAGTCTTGCCAAACTGCAACAACTTGTCCCGAGGTTGTCGAAATTATCAAGTTTGTCATGTGAGTCTTGTCAGTTAGGAAAGCATACTCGTAGTTCCTTTCCTCGTAGTGTCTCACAACGAGCGTCGTCCCCTTTTTCATTGGTTCATTCTGATATTTGGGGTAGTCGTCTTAAGTCCACTTTAGGTTTTCAGTATTTTGTTACCTTTATTGATGACTATTCCAAATGTACTTGGTTGTTTTTAATCGTTCTGAGTTGTTTCCTATTTTCCAATCATTTTTCAATGAAATAAAAACATAGTTTGGGGTTTCACTAAGAAAACCTTATACAACTTACTACTGTATTTATAGGAGACAGTAGTTCTGAAAAGTAAAAGGGCTGGAAGCCCCTAAGACAACCCTAACATAAATATTAATAATAATAAAGACATTATACTTCAACAGTTTGCCCTCAAATCCATAGGAAAATTCATGATCCTTCTTTTCTCTCACTTTTGGAATTGGTTTCTTGATAGGCAACAGAGCCTCTTAAATTAAGTTGTAAATAGCTCGATCCATGCAACCCTTATTCTAATTAAATTAATATTTCAGTACATAGTTTGGTGGGCCCTTGTCCTCAATGGCTCAAGCACAAAGGGAATTTGTTTGAGGAGGAATGTTAGAGATGAAAATAAAACTACTCTCTAACAGCTTAAGCTTTAAGGATGTTTGATCACTGAAAATCTTTATAAAGGAAAAGAATAAGAATATAGACATACTTCAAAAGTTTCAAACAAAACTAACCAGAAAATCTTCAATACAACTTTTAATTTCCAATACCTGTGGACCATAAGACAGTTCTAGCTGACAACCAGCTGCTACACCATGTGTGATTCGTAGGTAAAGAGTGCGTGAAAGAAAATATGCATGAGCATTTGGTCGGCAAGAATGGTTAAATAAACTGGCAGCTTTATAGATAGCTTTACCCACTCTGACCTACGAGAAATAACATATTATGACTTAGAATCACCAAGGATATAATAGTCACTAAGAAAAGATTACCATCACCAGCAATGTCATAATTACAATTGTTTGACTTGCAATAATATTCACAAGTAAATACAGCAAAAGAAAACAAGTATATCAAAAAAGAAAATGATGCAAATAAAGCCATGAGTTTAATTTCTATCTATTGTCAGTGTAAATATTTTTAAAGTGTCAACCAATCAAAAATAATGTCAAGCACAATTTTTGGTGCTATTTTTGATGGATATGATATGATTACGCAAGAACATAATAGGATATTAACATAATTATAATCATATACAGTATTTGGTGCACACACAATATAACATTAAATAATACGATATAATTATATTTAAAAGGCAATTATTCATTAAAATTTCACATGATTTCTTAAAATTGACTTTTGATTTAAAACTTTTATAACTATGAAAATTATTAAGAAAATGAAATAAACTATACAACATTATATTTTATTTCTATAACTATTTTTTATAATATAAAAAATTATATAACATTTTAAAATCTTAAAAATATTTAAGTTATTATTAATTAATTTAATATTCTAATAAATAATATAATTTAAATTTACGTGCCACAGTAATTATAAAAATAAATACATATAATATGTTAAATAAAAAATTATGATGTCTATTATCGTATAAATTTTATACAAAATTTTATTTTATTTATATAGTTACTTTTGCGTCAAATTATAAATAAATTATATAAGTTCTGTAAAATTAATATTGTGATGTAAAAAAATTTCCTAAAAGTATATTTTAATATTAAAAAATATATTTTATATTTTAATTGCCAATAATAATTAAAATTTGTGTGAATACCATAGAAAGAGAGGAGAAAGAGTTTATCCTACCCTCTTAAACTTAACATAGCTCCCTACATAGCTCCCCCTGGGAAAATAAATACACTACATTGACACAAGATAAAATGTGACAAAATAACGTTACCAGATCCTGTTGATAAAACAAACATCATATTACAATAGGGTAGCATAGTTATCATATCCTATTCTCTCACATCCTGTCCACCAAACGGACCTTAAAGGTATCAATAGTTCAACAAATCTAATGTAGCAATTTGTAATTGAAAGACAAAGTAAATTATGCAATCAATGCATTAATCCAATTATACTTTAAAAGACATGCGGCAAAATTTCTACCTGTTCCACGTTACTAGTTGAATGTGCATCAGATTTTAATGGAAATTGTCCAAAATGACCTGATAGTCCATGAGCATCAATTGATTTTAAACGAACAATGGTCATACAATTCACTTTAATTTGAGAGATAATAATGACAACCTGCATTTACAAAGAATTATGGAACCAGAATATGATTATTTTAATAATTCAAATACAAGAAAGCAACAACATGAATTACATTTTTCAACAAATGCTTCAACGTATTGGGAAAATGATGCCCAACACATGGCATATGATGGTTTTGTAACTTTTGTTATTAATCAAAGAACAAATAGACATATCCACATGTGCATGCATGTACACAGAGGAGTAACAAAAGAACCTGTGATATGGAGACTCCGTCTATGGAAAACATGGTTCCACATGAGTGTTGAAGACAATACAACAATACAATGGCATATATGTGTGAATCCAATTTGCTTTCAGATGACATATGTTTGTAACAATGAGAAAGCTCCTGCATAAGAAGCCATAAGCATGCAGCTAGTCATAATATAATCACAACAAAATGAACTGAACTCAAAAACTACATGCATTTAAAATATACCAGCCTTTCCACAAAGTTTATAATACTATCAGACGTGCTATTCAGCAAAAACCTTGCTAGTATTCGGCCAGCCAAAACTATCTCAGATGGCAGTACCACAGGCCAATGTACACCTCGGCATTCATGTTTATGTTCAGTAATATCCTCAATTTCTTGTTCAGAATCATTGCTTTGGATAACTTCAGAAGCATATTCTCCA